GGAAATCTCCTGGGAGATAAACTACCTCTTTGTACAGGCAAGGAAGAATGACAGGACAGAAAAGAGTCATCAGGGGACAATGTTTAAGAGATTGTTAACCCACAGAGGGTGGTACACTGCATGTGGAGAAACTGAGGGGGACCCCAAAAGTAAGTTTAACTGGTTCTGTTTCATCAGGTGAGAGAGACAGAGAGGCCATGCTACCACTCAGTTATTTTACTGCACCTCTGCTACCTGCACCTCCTTCCTGCCAACAGGGACCTGTTCTCCCACATGCCCACTGTTCCCATGGCATGCATCCACCATGGTGTACAAGAGGCTATGTAGCACAAGGTTAGATGAATGGGCTCTGCAAGGTTGCAGGGTACAAGAATGATTTGCAAAAATCAACTGTATTTTTACATACAAGTAATGAACACCTTGTGCAATACCATCAAAAGCTATGAAATACTTAGGGATAAATCTGACAAAAGTTATAAAATGCCTGCATGTAGAAAACTGTAATAGATTACTGAGAAACTAAGATATAAATAAATGGAGACATACACCTTTTTCATGGGTCAGGAAACTCAACATATGTCAATTCTCCCCAGATTGATCTATAGATTCAATGCAATCTCAACAAAAATGCCGGCAGGCTTTTTTTCAGAAATCAACAAGCTGATTTTAAAATTCACATGGAAACACAAAGGGCCTGGGAACTGTGAGGAAGCAATGGCAGGAGTGAGAGTCTGAGCAGGAGGGCATGTCTCTCTCTAGGTGGTCTCCCCAAGTGGTGTCTCTAAGCAGCCAAGGCAGAGCCGGCCAGCAAGGTCTGAGGAAGAGTGGGTGACATGGAAGAAACTGGGAGGTAGCCAGGGCAGGGAGCTAGCTGCTAGGGAAAGACACCTGAGCTCTTTTCTGGGATTGTAGGAGCATTTTCTAGGGTAAAAAAACAGGAACCCATTTATGGGCACAGAATAGGAGCCATTAACAGCCAGAAAAAAGGAGAGAGAGAAGATGGAGAATGAAAGCAAAGCCCTGGTGCTAACAAGAGATTCGGTCCAGAGGCCATGGAGAAGGGCCTGGAGAACCGGGAGCAGAGGCAGGAGAGCAGGGGGTGTCCCTGCAGACTCACCTTCACTCCTGAGCCTCCAGATCCAGCTCGCCTCAATTCTTGGTGAGTGTGGGGCCCATGGCTCTTGCCCCTGCTCCAGCCTGGAGATGACATCAGATTTGGAACCTTGAAGTCCTGCCCCAGAGAAAGGAAGCAAGACTGATCAGTCATCCAGGTCCAGGGCAGGATTGCCCTGTGGGCAGTGCCTGTACGCCTGTCGTGACCTCCTCTGTCACCCGGTCTCCAAACCATGGAGACAGACGCAAGCCTCCGGCCCAGATGAAAAAAAATCAAACCCAGTTCTTCTGGGGGCCATGGATAAGGAATAGAATTGGGGCCTGAACACATCACAGTAGAAGATTCGTGGTTGAGGAGGTGTTGATGTCCAGCAGAAGGACTAAAGGGCAGCAGCACATTCTGGGATAAGGCAGGGCACTGAAACCAAACGGAGTCAAATCCCAGATCTTCCCCTGACTGCCTGTCTGAACTCAAGGAACTTAAGATATTTGTCAGCTTTAGGTTAATCTGTAACAGTGCATCTCACCACCGACCTCGAAGAAGAATGAAGATTAACTCAGGGGATGTAAATACACTTGGTGACCAGTGAATGACATTTTCCTTCTGTATCCCTACAAAAAAATTGGGGCGGGGGTGTCCCCGGCACTGCCCGTCCCCTCCTCTGTGCAGACCAGGCCTGCCTCGGCCCAGGGTCAGAAATGCCCCATGTCTGGGCCCAGGGAGGTGAGGAGCCTCGAGCCCAGCCCCAGTCCCCAGGGCCATTCATGTAGCAGGAAGCCAAGAGCTGAGCTCTGGGGAGGAGCCTTACCCAGCGAGACCAGGTTTCTGTAGGTCTCCAGCATCACGTCCCTGTAGAGGCCCCTCTGAGCAGGGTCCAGAAGGCCCCACTCTTCCTGGGAGAGGAGCACAGCCACATCCTCAAAGGAGACCAAGACCTGTAATGACAAGATCTTGTTGCAAGCCCAGGGTGGGCGTGGGTGGGGAGGAGACACTAGGCTCAGGACGGGCAAACCACTCTGAGCACACATACCAGCCTGTCTTTCTGAGAGTGGGCTCTCCAAGGCAGGCACCATTTCATTTGCCTCTGTCTGCCCAGCCCCTGCCCTCCACCATTCCCAGTTCAGGGATTGGAAGACACAGTGTGGAGCACATTTCAGGGACTTCAACTCAGGGGCTGAAGACATTGGTGAGAACAGGGAGCTGTCTACCCTCTGAGACTAGCCTCTGATAGAGGGAACCATGGAGAGACTCCAGGCAAGAAAAGTCTGAGGCCACAGAGAGGAGTCTCCATGAGGACCACTCACCTGGAGCCCACCAGGAAGGAGATGCTTGACGGCCATCACTGGGTCTCTGCAGCTTGTCTCGAGGAGGCAGGCAGAGCTGCAGGGAGAGGGAAGACTGTGACGGGGCTTGTTTCCCCCAGCAACTGTGAGACTTCTGGGCCTGGACCTCAAGAGGTCTGTGGCAGCAGAGACCCAGTTTTGGGCTGCCTGAAAACCCCAGGAAGGGCAGAAAGACTGAGCATCCAGCAGCCTGAGACCATATCCCCTTGCCTCCCATGAGGTCCCCCAAGCAGCTCCATGGTATGACAGCATCCCAAGGCCACCACGTAAACGCCAGATCCTTGGCAGTGCACCTGGTCAGAGGAGACAATGGGCTGCAGCTTGGGCCCACCTAAGAGGTCCTGGGCAGTGGGCAAACAGCTGAGGACAAGCAGACCAGGGTCCTGCTCTAAGGCAGTGCACAAGTGAACAGTTTGACAGATGCAATACCTGTGTCAAGTGACAGATAAGGGACAGAAAGAATGGGCAGCATTTGGTGGTGGGTACTTCACACAGGATGGCCACAGAAGGCACCGTGATAGAGCAACATCCAAGTAGAGATCTGGGTGGAGTGAGAGAAGGCACTATGTAGATGTCAGGGGAGACACATCCCTGGCATGGGGAAGCACAAGTGCCAAGGCTGTGAGACCCAAGCACACTTGATGTGTTGGAGGAAGGGCAAGAAGGCCAGAGGGGCTGAAGCAGAGTAGGGGATGGCAATGGAGAGGAGACAGGGGTGCCTCACAGGCTATAGAACTTAGGCTTTTACTCTGGATGAGACGAAAAGCATCTGGAAGGCCTGGGCAGAGTGACATGACGTGACACATGGCCTCTCCAGCTGCTGCTTTGACAAAAGACTAGGGGGTCAGGGTGGAGGTGTAAGGGTGTAAGCAGGAAAACCAGTTGGGAGACTCTAGCAATAATCCAGCTGGAAATGACAGTGTATTGGACTAGACGGGTGGTAGCAGGTGATAAGTAGTCAGATTTTACATGCATTTCAAAGGTATAAAACAAGGTTTGCTGATGAATTAGATGTGGGATGAGATACCAAGATCTTTGGCCCAAGCAACTGAAATGATAAAATTTCCATTTACTCAGAAAGATAAGACTGTAGGAATATATCTGAAGGGTAAAAATTAAAAGTTGTTTTGCACATGGTGTTAGACTTACAAGTGGAGAATGAAGGCATTTGCTATACAGGTCCAACATTCAGGAGAGGTTGAAGCCCGCTGGGTGCACAACGGAAACTACCAGGACACATGACTTTTAGAACATGGTCTGGTTTTACCTTAGACTGACACGTGACGCCAGGTGTCACTCCCAGGAAAACCTTCCCAACTGGCCTCTGATACACAGCTGGCCGCCCAGCCAAACTTCCAAGCAAACAGCCCCTTAGTCCAGGCAGAAACGCGCCCTTTTTCTCGCCCAGCTTTCCCTTGCCCCTAGGGGACCACGAGGTCCAGTTCTGGTCAAGAAGATGTGAAGGAAAGTTTGCCAAGAGGCTTCTAAGAAGGGCTTTTCCTCCCTGATGATAAAAAGGAAACAAGGAGAAACACTTCCGTCTAGAGTGACCCTGAGGGAAAACCCAGAGAACCTCAGGCACATCCGGGAACAAAGCCTGTCTGTGCCACCTTCGCCACTCAAGCCTCTGACCATCACTTGGCCTCCGGAAGGTTTTCTCTGACTAGCAGGTGACCCCACGCTTACCGATGCCCATTTCTTTTCTCCCGGGCCTCCCTGAGTCTCCACCGGAGGCCACGTGGGCCAGGGGCGGCCTTTGAACCTCAGCCAGCCCTGGCCCGGGCCTGGCGCGCCCTCTTCGATTCACAGACGGCCCTTCCTAACACGCTCTGCCTCCTCTTCCGGACCCATCCGAGGGGCGCCGAGCGCTGTCGGAAGCAGGGCTCTGGACCCCGGCAGGACCCAGCACCTGCTAGTGCAAGGGTCTCCGGGGGGCGACTCGAGTTTCCCCACAGACCATCAGACGCGACACCCCCGCTGACCGTCACCGGCTATTTTGAGTTACGTGAGAAAAACGCACGCAGCGCTTCGCCTAGTGTTTGCAAACCACACAGGAAAACACTAAACCTTAACGGTCATCGTCCGGGCAGCGTCTAGCGAGCGCCACGGAGGGAAGAAGGCCCGGGGGACCAGTCCCGGCGCTGCCCATGGCCCGCCGCCCACCCCCGTCCTCGCACTGAACCCGCCCCCTCCGTCCCCGCCCGGCCGCTGCCGTCCACCCTCCACCCGCCGCCCGCCGCCCGCCGCCCGCCGCCCGCCGCCCGCGCTCCGCCTCCTCGGCGAGGCCTCGCCGCGACGCCGCCCGCGCAGCGGCCCCGAGCCCGGCACGTGGGAGCGGGCTTCGGCGCGCCGGCCCTCCGCGCACACAGCCGGGCGCTCCGCCTCCACGCCGCGCTCTGCCCGCGCCGGGCGCCCGGCCGCACTCACTCAGCTCCGCCGCCGCAGGGGGCGGGGGTCCGACGCCGGCAGCAGCGCGCCAGACGCACCGACGGAAACGCCCGCCGGAACTTCCGCCCCACCCAGCTCGCCCGCCAATCGGATCCCAGGGCTCGGTCGGGCCTCTCTAGGCGTCCGAAGGACTCGATGCTACTGGCCGACCTGCCGTGGAGGACATTTTGTTGCCAGTAGAACCGCTTTGCGAGAAGTGCTGGAACCAGTTCTTCAGAGAGATAGGAAATGATATAGATCAGGAACTCGGGGCTACGTAAAGAAAGGAAAGGATCAGAGAAGAAATCAGTGAAGGTAGTCAAGTCTTTTATTCTTATTAACCTAAAAGGTTATTGTTTTTCAAAGTAATAATAGCAACAATGTATTCGATAGTATACCATATGGATAATTAAAATGAATGACAGCAATGTCTTAAGGGATGGGAGAGAGTAATTGGGAATACTTGGTTATAAAGTACCTATGCTGCCTGTATAGCCGTATAGTGTTATTTGAAGGTGGACTCAGATTAGTTCCAAATAACCACTAAAAATATATTTTTAAAAGCATAGTTGATAAGGTAAATAGAAAGAAAAATGGAATCAGATAAAATGCTTAATTAAATCAGAGAAGACAGAAAAAGAGGGGAAGATTTTAAAGAAGAAATAAGTACAATGAATAAAAAGTAGTTACACACAAGGTGCGTATTAATTTGTGGAAATTAATAAAAGAACCTTAACTAAACTGGAGTTGGGAAGGCCTGTAGAGGAAGCTCTCACCCCATCACACATGTCAATTACTCCAAACTGGAGAAGACAGACTTGCATCTCTGATAGGAAGTGAAAGGACTTTATTACTGAAGGAAGATTTCCCTGCCACTGGGCAATAGCCCAGCCAATGGGAAATGCCACAGCTTAGCCAATGGGAAGCCATTTCTGCCCTGGATAGTTACTTTCCTCCAATGGATTTTCATTTAGAGCAGCTCCTTCCTACTCCCCCTTTTTCTCTATAAAAGCAGCTCCCTTGCTTTGTTTTCCAGTTTGCCTGTGGTTTGCCATAGCGTGCACATCCCAAATTGCAACTTTTGGCGCTTCCTGAATAAAGTCATTTTGGGGACAACAGGCAAATTCACTTTCTAAGGTGACAAATCCAACTATATTAATAATCACTTTAAATGTGAATGGCCTAGATACACCAATTAAAAGAGACTGTCAGAGCAGATAAAAAAATAAGACCTAACTATATATTGCCTATAAGAAACCCATTTTATTATAAAGCCACAGATAGGTTAAAAGGTAACAGGATAGGGGCCAGCCTGGTGGCAATAGTGGCTGAGTTTGGCGTGCTCTGCTTTGGTGGCTTGGGGTTTCTGGGTTTGGATCCTGGGCACAGACCTACACCACCCATCAAAGCCCTGCTCTGGCAGCAACCCATGTATAAAATAGAGGAAGACTGGCAACAGATGTTAGCTCAGGGCCAATCTTCCTCAAGCAAAAAAAAAAAGGAAAGAGAGGAGCACAGCATGCTAACACTAATCAAAAGAAAATGGGAGTATCTATACTGATCTCAGATAAAGCTGACTTCAGAGCAAATAAAATTATCAGGGATAAAGAGGCATATTACATATGATAAAGGGATCAATTCTCCAAGAAAACGTAATGATTCTTAATGTGTATGCACCTAACAACAGAGCATCAAAATACATGAGGCAAAAACTGCTAGAATTGCAAGGAGAAACGGATGAACTCACTATTATACCTGGAGACTTCGACAACCATATATCAGTAATTGACAGATTCAACAGGCAGAAAATCGGGAAGGATGTAGTTGAACAGAACCATCAGTCATTGGAATCTAATTGCCTTTTACACAATATCCCATCGCACGACAGCAGAATACACATTCTTCTCAAACTCACATTGAATGGTCGCTAAGATAGACCACACTCTGGGCCATAGAACACACCTTAGCGAGTTTAAAAGAATAAAGATCATACAAAATATGATCCCAAATCATAATGAAATTAAACTAGATATCAATAACAGAAAGATAGCTAGGTAATCTCAAAATATTTGGAGATTAAACAACATACTTCTAAATAACACATGGTCAAAAAAAAGTCTCAATAAAAATTTTAAAATATTTTAAAATAAAGTTAAAAATCTAACATCAAAATTCATAGATATGAACAGATTATGAATTTTATAAGGAAAGGCAAAATACCCAGAATAGCCAACACAATACTGAAGAAGAACAACAAAATCTAAGGACAGATTCTACCCAGCTTTAAAGCACTTTATAAAGCTACCGCAATCAAGACAATGTGGTGTTGATGAAAGAATGCACAATTAGATCAATGGAACAGAATAGAGAGCCCAGAAATAGATCCCCACAAATACAGTCAATTGATCTTTGACAAAAGAGCAAAGACAATTAAATGAAGAAAGAATAGTCTTTTCAATAAATTGTACTGGAACAATTAGACATCCACATCCAAAAAAAAAAAAAAAAAGAATTTAGACACAGACCTTACATTGTGCACAAAAACTAACTCGAAATGGATCTTAGATCTAACTAGGTTTTTGTTTTTGTTTTTTTAAATAACACCTAGGAAGGCTCAAAGTTCTAATCAAGGTGACCTTGAAATAAAAATCAGAGGGGCTGACTGAAACATTGTAATTTAGTAGGTTCTTTTATATTCTGTCTGTAATCGTGGAAGTCAGAAAAAAGAAGCCTCCGAAAAGCAAAGATTGTTATAAACCAATGTTACTGCAGTAAAAAAAAAAAAAAAAAAGCAAAGATTGGTAAAACCCTGATCAGGGAAAGGAACTGAGAAAAGCTTCTCAAAATTACTGCGCCGTCCTTGTTCTAATCCCAGGCTCGTATGTAACTCTTTGATGATATGTTTTCCCAGATGCTGTACTGTGAGGTCAACACAAACACAGTCTCTTATAAACTAACAAGTTGGCACTGAACTTTACAAGCACAAATTCACCCTGACAGGCAATCCGTGTGCTGCCGAGGGATGCTTTCTGAGCCTGTGGAGCTGAGGACCACGCAGCCCAGTCATGTATTCCAGGCTATACTATCTCTGTCCCAACGCCTCAGTTCTGCCATATGAGTGTGAAAGTAGCCACAGACAACACGTAAATGAACAAGCGTGGTTGTGTTCCACTGGACAGTGAAATTTCATTTTATGTAATTTTCACGTCATGAAATATTATGCCTCTTTAGAGTTTTTCAAGCACTGAAAAGTGTAAAATCTCTTCTTAGTTTATTTCTTGATTAGTTTCCTAAGAGGTTGCTATTTTTTTGACTTTGGCTTTGTTAATCCTCTGTAATGTTTCTTTGTTTACTGTTTCATTGATTTCTGTTCTAATATGTATTATATCCTTCCTTCTGCTTTCTTTGGGTTTTATTTAGTCATTTTCTAATCTCATTAATGGGCTACTTGGTGCCTCTGGTTTCAGCCTTTCTTCTTCTTCTTTTTTTTTTTGGTGAGGAAGTTTGGCCCTGAGCTAACACGTGTTCCAATCTTCCTCTTTTTTCTGGAGAAAGATTGTTGCTGAGCTAACATCTGTGCCAGTCTTCCTCTATTTTGTATGTGGGATGCTGCCACAGAATGGCTGGATGAGTGGTGTGTAGGTCTGTGCCCAGGATCTGAACTTGGGAACCCCGGGCCACTGAAGTGGAGCTCATGAACTTCACCACTATGCCACTGCGCCAGCCCCACTTCTTTTTTAATATAAGTATTTCAGGCGATAAATTTCCCCAAAGCACACTTTCACCGCATTGTACAATTTTTGATATGGAATATTTTCACTAATTTCTTAAGTGTTTTAAATTTTCATAATTACTTTTTATTTGATCTATTAATTATTTAGAATTATTAAAAATTTCCAAGTGGATGGGGACTTATATTTTTTATTACCTTCTAATTGAATTTTAACATATTCAGAGAATGTGGTCTATAAGATACCTATTTTTAAAAATTTGTTGAAAATTTCTCAATGGCCTAGTACCTGGATAATTTTTATAATTTTTATAAGTGTTTTATGTGAATTTGAGGAGAAATCTAATTGTTGAATGTAGATTTTAGTTCTATATTGTAAGAGATATATTTTGTCTTTTTTTTGGTTATTTTTAAGATCATAGTATACTTTACTAAGCTATACTCATGCTTTTTAAATTTTTTAAAAAACTTTTTATTTGAATAACATTTTTATTTTAGAATAGTTATATTTATAGAAAAGTTGCAAAGATAGTACAGAGTTTGCATACACTGCACATCTAGTTTCCCCTATTTTAATATCTTACATTAGTAAAGTACATTTGTTGCCAGTAATGAATCAATATGGATACATTATTATAAACTTTATTCAGATTTCCTTGGTTTTTACCTAATGTCCTTTTTCTTTCTTTTTTTTTAAATTGCAGTAACGTTGGTTCATAACATTATATAAATTCAGGTGTACATTGTTATATATTTCAATTCCTGTGTAGATTACATCATGTTCACCACCCAAAGACTAATTACAATCCACACAGATGTGCCTGTTCACTCCTTTCGTCCTCCTCCCTCCACTCTTCCCCTCTGGTAACCACCAATCCAATCCCTGTCTTTATGTTTGTCGTTGTTTTTATTTTCTACTTGTGAGTGAGATCATACAGTATTTGACTTTCTCCCTCTGACTCATTTCCCTTAGCATAATGCCCTCAAGGTCCATCCATGTTGTCACAAATGGCCAGATTTCATCATTTGTTATGACTGAGGAGTATACAACATCTTCTTTATCCATTTGTCCCTTGATGGGGACCTAGGTTGCTTCCAAGTCTTGGCTATTGTGAATAATGCTGTGATGAACATAGGGTTCTAGAGGAAAACATAGGCAATACACTCTTTGACATTGGTCTTAGCAGCATATTTTCAAGTGCCATGTCTGACTGGGCAAGGGAAGCAATAGAAAAAGTAAAAAAATGTGACTGCATCAAACTAAAAAGCTTCTGCAGAGAAAAGGAAACCATCAACAAGATGAAAAGACAACCTAACAATTGGGAGAAGATATTTGCAAACCATATATGTGATAAGGAGTTAATATCCAAAATATATAAAGAACTCATACATTGCAACAACAGAAAAACAACACAATTAAAAAATGGGCAAAAGATCTCCAAAGAAGATATACAGATGGCCAACAGGCACATGAAAAGATATTCAATGTCATTAGCTATCAGGGAAATGCAAATCAAAACTACAATGAGATATCACCTCACTCCCATCAAAATGGCTATAATTAACAAGACAGGAAACAGTAAGTGTTGGAGAGGATGTGGAGAGAAGGGAACCCTCATACACGGCTGGTGGGAGTGCAAACTGGTGCAGCCACTGTGGAAACAGTATGGAGTTTCCTCAAAAAATTAAGAATAAATCTACCCTGTGATCCAGCTATTCTACTTATGAGTATTTATCCAAAGAACATTAAAACATGAATGTGTAAAGATGCATGCACCCCTAATGTCCTTTTTCTGTTCCAGGACCTCATCTGGGACATCACATCACATTTAGCCGTCATGTCTCCTTATGCTTCTCTAGACTGGCACGTTCTGAGACTCCTTGTGTTTGATGATCTTGACAGTTTTGAGGAGTACTGGTCAGATATTTTGTAGAATGTCTTTCAATTGCTGTTTGTCTGATGTTTTTCTCAAGATCAGCCTGGAGTTTGAAGGTTTTTTTTAGGAGGTATACCACAGAGATAGAGTTCCATTCTCATCACATCATATCAAATAAACACGACTTATCATTGTTGATGTCAACCTTGATGTCACCTACTTGAAGTAGTGTTTGTCAGGCTTCTCCACTGTAAGATTACTCTTTCCCCCTGTTTGCATAAGGAAGTCACTCTGCATAGCCTATACTCAAAGGTAGGGAGTTATGCTCCCCCTCCATGAGGGGAGAGTATCTACATAAATTATTTCAAATCCTTCTGCATGGCAGATTTGTCTCCTCTCCCACATTTGTTTGTTTGTTCAATCAACCACTTATTTAATCATATGATCTCATAGATATTTTACACTTTGGGTTCTAATCAATATTATGTTGCTTATTTTGTTGCTTAAATAGTTTCAGCTTTGGCCATTGTCTTTCAGTTTGCTCTTGTGTCTCTTTGACATATTCCTAGTATTGTGGGTTTTTTTTAAAGTGCTCCCTTACTTTCTGGCACTATCAGATGCTCCTGGATCATCTTGTATATTCCCTGTCCCAACCCTAGAATCAGCTGTTTCTCTAAGGACCTCTGGTTTCTTTTATTGGAGAATGGTATTAGAAACCAAGATCTGGGTGCCAAGTATGGTCATTGCCACTGGAGTGTCACTGCTTCTAGGTCCTCTCAGCTGACGAAGCAAGGAATTACATGTGTATATATTAACCCACATATGTATACATCTTTCTGTATATGTCTATCTGTATGTATATTAAGCTGAACCCAGTATCTCCAACTTTAATCTGTTGCCACCTGGATCACTCCAGTCTTCCTCCCTTGCTTGTCCATAACCTCCCACATGAACAGCAGGAAACCTGGCTCTTATCAGCTGCCATTCACTTAATTGTCTAAACCCAGTATACATGTACAGTGGACTCTTACTTTTCTATATCTCACTCTGTTTTTCTGGATTTCTATCTTTTTTACTATAATACTTCTTCCTGTGTAAGAATAAGTGTTTTCTTTTTTTTTTTTTTTTTTTTTTTAAAGATTTTATTTTTTTCCTTTTTCTCCCCAAAGCCCCCCGGTACATAGTTGTGTATTCTTCGTTGTGGGTTCTTCTAGTTGTGGCATGTGGGACGCTGCCTCAGCGTGGTCTGACGAGCAGTGCCATGTCCGCGCCCAGGATTCGAACCAACGAAACACTGGGCCGCCTGCAGCGGAGCGCGCGAACTTAACCACTCGGCCACGGGGCCAGCCCCAAGAATAAGTGTTTTCAGAAAAGGGTCTCAGTGAGAGCATAAGTATATTGCACCATCACTTAAAAAAAAGTAGACCGTTAGTTTTATAGCAGTTTTAGATTCTCAGCAAAATTGAGCAGAAAGTACAGAGATTTTCCCATATATCCCCTGCCCCCACATATGAATAGCCTCCCCTACTATCAAAATCCTGCACCAGAACATCATCACCCAAAGTCCATTAGGGTTCACTCTTGGTGTTGTACATTGTGTGAGTTTTCAAAACTGTATAATGATATGTATCCACCATTAGAAAACCATACAGAATAGTTTCACTGCCCTAAGAGACCCTCTGTGTTCCACCTATTCATCTTGCACCATCACTTTTAAATGACAGTTTACCCCAAGGACAAGATTCTAGGTTCAAAATTTTTTCTTTCAACACTATGAATATATTATTCTCTTGTCCTCTTGTTTCCAGTATCCTTATTAAGTCTGATGTTAATCACATTATTTTTCTTTTGTAAGTAATATTTTCTCTCTAAAAGCTTTTAGGATATGGTTTTCTTCTATATTCTTAAATTTCATTACAGTGTCTAGTGCATGTGTTCTTTTCTTTCTCTCCTGTTTGACACTCAAGGAGCCATTTCAGTCTGAGGTCACCCATCCTTAATTCCAGATCACATTAAAAATGTTTTCTCTCCTCCATTTACTTTTTCTTCTTTAAATATTCCTATTATATCAATTTTGACACTTCTATTTTCAGCATCCATATCACTTAAATTTTCTCTAAAATTTCCTTGTCTTCATTCCTTCCTGGTGCCTTCTAAAGAGTTCCTCAGCTTCATCTTCTGGTCCACTAATGTGTTTTCAATTACATTCCTTCTTTTATCCCAGCTACAGGGCTCTTTACTTAAAATGTTAGTTTTCATATTCCATATTTCCACTTGGTTTTATTCTTTATTAGTGCTTTTTCCTTCCTTGTGTCAATAATATCATCTCGTCTCTTTGCAGATATTAATTTTATTTTAAATTCTGGTTCTGCTCTTCTCTTAATTTTGGTTCATCTAGTAGAGTTTTATGGCTTATTTCTATCTTTTATCATGATTGTGTTTCAAATGTGTCTGAAACTTCTGCCTGTAAGCTCACTTCCAGGTGCCCCGGGCTCAGGCTCCAGATTATGCCACACCTGGTGTCTTAAAGGGGAAGAGGCACGTTCCACAGCAGAGAACCTGCGGCTCACACTCTGCCTTCATCACCCCCTTTACTGACCCTCGTCAGGTGGCTGCACCTCTTGGGGAACCTCTTATATCTTCTCTCTTGGCACTAGTCTTCTGAAAGGGCTTTTCTCCTATAGTTGGAATCACCTCATGTTAGGGCTGTGGCTACCAAGAAGGGGAAATAGAATACTCAGGGGTTAACTAGACTCTGGTGACTCCTGACATAACCCCATTGGACCCTGTGCTGCTGGAATTGTGTTTGTGTGTATCACCCTGTAATGGGCTGAACTGTATCCCCCCAACCCCCAAAAGAGATAAGCTGAAGTCCTAGTCCCAGTACATCAGAATGTGACCTTATTTGGAAATAGGGTCGTTGCAGATGTAATTAGTTAAGATGAGGTCATACTGGAGTAGGGTGGGCCCTGATTCAGTATGCCTGCTGTCCTTATAAGAAGATGGCCATGTAAGACAGCGACGCGCAGGGAGAACATCATGGCATGACCAAGGCAGATATTCGAGCTGTGCAGCTGCGAGCCAAGGAACACCAAAGATTGACAGCGAACCGGCAGAAGTTAGGGAGAGGCAAGGATTTCCCGACAGGTTTAAGAGGGAGCATAGCCCTGCTGACACCTTGATTTGGACTTTTACTCCAGAACTGTGTGTTGATATATTCCTGATTGTTTTAAGCCATCTGGTTTGTGATACTTTGTTTGGCAGCCCTACGTAATGATACACAGCTTCATAGTGGTAAGAGGGGAAGTAGTGATTCTTCGAAGGCAATGAGATGGGGAAAAAAGAGCACAACTCAAGGGCTCAGCACCGTCCCTCCTCCACTGGAGCCTGGCCCACCGCCCCAGGGTTCCAGTTCTCCCCAATGATTTTCTCTCTCAGGATAGTTCTCACAGCATTTACTTTTGTCCTCCAGCGCCATATACTTTTCACTTACTTTTGTGGTATGAAAATAAGATCATGGACTCAGAATTTAAAATAAGACTGTGTTGCTAACTGAAAATATGCATGTAGAAAGGACGCCACCAGCCAGACATTGGGAGGCCACCACACCTCAGTTTCTTAGTTCATCAAAAAGACAGGTTTCTTTTACACACAGGTACAATCTAAGGCAAACCCCAACCCCCAGGAATGCCTTGTGGTCAGAGAGGTAGTGTCTGTGACGCTCATGTGGAGAAAGGGCCACTTGAGTAAGAGAGGGGGTGGGCTTCCTGATGCTCAGATAAGGGAAGGTGAGATCTTATATGATTTGCCAAGGGAGGGACAGCAGTCCTTGTAGTCATAAGTTAGCGTACTTCAAAAAGCCTGTTGAAAGGGGACCTAATAATAGACTTTTAAAAGGGGAAAAGTATTTTTTTAGTAAAACTTCATAAAGATTTACCATTTTTTGAGAATTTAACTTTCTCTTACAGGTAACATGCCATGTTCTATCAGTTATGGGGGGCGGATCTTACTCACTGGCACCTTCAGAGCTGGACTGGTGGAGGAAATCAACTATCCTTATGACTTTATCTCTTTAGGAACCAGAGAACCTACTGAGCCTGCATATACATTGCCCTTGACCATACTAAATTTTTTATTTCATTAATTGTTGTCTCCTGTACATTCTCTTCAAATCAGACACACAATTCGCTATTATTTGAAATCAAGATGCCAACTATTTCTTCTACCAATATGCTCTATATTTTCTCAACTCTCTTCACTCCTAATGAGATGAATTCTTTAGAATACTTTCATATCCAACCTCTTTCCCACATCTACTGTCACCCCCAACTGAGCCCTTTAAAATGCTTCATCCCCACCTCCTGAATTTCACTGATATGGTTAGTGCTTTCAGTTTAGTTTATTGTTAGATCTTTTTCTTATAGTATGTCCCATCTATTTCATGAATATTTGGCTCTTTTATTACAAACTCCCAGTCTGTCCTTATTTATAGTGGGGGTCATGACTCATCAGTAGGTTTTTCCCCTCTTTATTTTCTTTCATTTGAGGTCTGCGTGCTATTTCTTTTGCTGCTGTGTTAAAGTCTTTTCTAAGGTATTTTCTTCAACTGGAGTATCAAGGGGATACGTGATGGTTAATTTGAGCGTGTTTTTGGATGAGATTAACAATTGTATGTGTATACTGAGTAAAGGAGGTTGTCTTCCCTAATGTGGGTGGGCCCTATGCAATCAGTTGAAGGCCTGAATAGAACAAAAAGGTTGACTTTTCCATGAGTAAGAGGGAATTTCCTCCTGCCTGACTGCCTTGAGCTAGGACATCAGGGTTTTTCTTTTCCTGCCTTCAGACTTAGACTAAAACTTTGGCTCGTCCGAGTCTTAGCCTGCCAGCTTTCAGACTGAACTGCACCATCTCCTCATGGGGTCTCAATCCTTTGGACTGCACCATCAGCTCTCCAGGGACTCCAGCTTGGTGACTGAAGATCTCAGGACTTGTCAGCTTCCATAATCATGTGAGTCAATTCCTTATAATGAACATATATATATATCTCCCCTTAGTTCTGTTGTGCTGTTTCTCTGGAGAACCTTGACATACAGCACACAGTCTCAAATACCTATTTGCCCTGACAGTGTAATGTCATTGATAGCATGCATCTGACTTAATGTTCTTGGGTTGTAGTCCCTTTCTCTCAGGAGTCTGTAGGCACTATTCCACTATTCCATTCTCTTCCTGCTTTCAGTGTTGACAACGAGAATTCTGATGATAGCCTGATTCTTTTTCCTTTGCAAAAAACTTAGATTTTCCATCCAGAAGACTGTAGTACCTCTTGCTTTATTTCTAAGAATTCAGGAATTTTACCAGGATATATCATTTCTCATCAATACAACCTGGAACTCAGTGAGCCTTTTCTGTCTGCCAACTGGAGTTTTGCTAGGCAAAGTATTAGTGAGAGAGAGGGGCCAGGGAGCTTAAGTTGTCAGCAGAGGAGTTAATAAAATAGAGAACCATGTGTCTTAGCCAGGTAGAAGGGATGTAAGGACAGGAGGGAGAGGATGGCAAATGAAAAGTAGTAGAGTTCCACAGATGGTGCTGGGGTAACTGGATAGCCATTCGCAAAAAAAAAAAAAAGAAGTTGGACCTCTGCCTTTCAGAATATACAAAAATTAACTCAAAATGGATCAAAGACCTAAATGTAAAAGCAAAACCTATAAAACTCTTAGAAGAAAACATAGGTATAAAAATCTCTGTAACCTAAAATGAGGCAATGGTTTCTTGGATACGACACCAAAACTCAGGCAACCAAAGATAATAATAGATAAATTGGATTTCATCAAAGTTAAAAGTTCTGTGCCTCAAAGGACACCATCAAGAAAGTGAAAAACCCACAGAATGGAAGAAAATATTCCTAAATCATATATCTGTATTAATCATGTTTTTAAATTTTCTGTACATTATGATGTTTTGACATCTTAAAAAATACCTTTCTTGCTAGGGAGAGGCTGCCCCTCCCCGGGCTAGCCAACTCTTAGAGACAACAAGGGCTCAGGATGTGATCATGCCTTCCTTATGCAAACTGACCAGTGCAGAGCTGGGCCTCCTCTCCCTGCCTGTGCACCCCAGGAGGTAGATATTCCTCTACCTTAACCATCCCAGAGCCAGGAGCTAGGCAACTAGGGACCACGTCTGTAGCTTAGAGCCCGCCAAAATTATTCAAACTAGCCAATCCTAAACTGTTTACCCTGCCCTGTCTTGCCTTTCCCCGCAGAAACCCCAATAAAGGCCGTGGCCTACGCCCCCCTGGCTCATGCTTCTGCTTCCGCACCGAACCTGGTATCCTGAGGCCGTGCATGGCAAGTGGTGCCGTTTCTGGGGGAACTGAGTGACACTAAACTTTCCTTTCAATGACATTGACCTCTCCATGTGGTCACTCACCCATCTTTATCAATTAAGACCCAAGACACAACATATCTGACCCAGAATATATAAAGAATGCTTGTAACTCGACAATAAAAAAACCTCTCAACTCTGAAGTGAGCTGGAGAGACGGGAGAGGACCAGTCCCTGAGAGAGAGTTGGGGATGGCGTGGTGGTCTGCAGGGGTCACAGGGCCAGGCTCCCTTCACAGGCGCCTTCCAGGGCGTGCAGCTGCGCGCCAGGCCTGATGCTGGGGAGGCTGGAGGGACGCTGCGCTTCGGCGGAGCTGCACCAGGGCTGATGCTGGGAGCTGGGGGGAGACTGGGCCGGGTCGCGCGGACCGGGGGCATGGAAGCTTGTCAGGGCCTTCCGCCTCAGGGGAGTCTCGAGCCTTCTCCGGCTCCAGAGCGGCAGGGCAACCACCGAGACCACTGTCCTCCGCGGCGCCTAGAGCGGCTCCAGCTGCGCTCGCCCGGAAGGACCGCAGCCCGCTTGAGCAGTGGCTTCCGGCGCGGCGGCGTCTGCTCTTTCGCGCCGGGGAGCCGGAGTGAATCCTGGGCGTTGGACTGCGGCCTCTCGTGCCGCGCGGCCGTCTTCCCGGCGACTGCAGGGCCGCTCTCCTGTCAGCGCCTGGGGCCCGCCGAGCCTGCGTCCCTTCCCGAGGGTTGTCCGGCATCGCAGCCCCGCGGGCTGGGCCGTCGGCGCGGCGGGGGGCGGGGAGACGCGGACCGGTCTTTCGGCAGCTGCGAGCGCCGCGTCTGCTCGGGCCTCGCGTCGGCGCCCTGCTGCAGGGCCGGCCGGGCGGGGTCCCGCAGAGCCGGGGCGGAGGGGCCGCCCTCCCGAGACAGCGGTGTCCGGCGGCCTTTGCTGAGGGGGACCCGCCCGAGCGAGCGCCCGTGCCGCCTGCCTGTTCTGTGGGCGCGGCGTGGGTCCGCCTGCCGAGGCCTCAGTCGAGGCCGAGCCGGGGGGCTCCTGACGCCCCGAGACCGCGCTGCCGCGTCTGGAGGGGAGACTGACGGAGCGGCCTCGCCCCGCAGGCCGGCTGCGGGTCAGGGGACCGTGGGGCCCGGGCCGGCGCGCTCCCAGCCTCGCGGGGCGCGTGCTCGTCTCCTCTCCTCGGGCCGCCGCCGCCGCCGTCGGAGGAGCGACGGCCCCGCCTCACGGTCCCGCGGGCGCCCGGGCCCTCGGAAATCCGCCCGAGCTGCCTCGGACGGGCCGGCGCCTCGGTGCCCGGCCCCGCGCCCCCGGGGTTCGCAGACGGCCCCCCCCCGAGCGCCCCTCTGACCGCGGGCACGGGCCGGCCTTAAGCAGTGACCCTCTGGTTTTCTTATAGATTAGTGCTTCCTTATTGAAAAATTGGATGATAAACTGTTGGGCTTTTCCTTTCTTGGGATATCTTGAATGATTTGGTGATTCTCAATTATTTACTGACACTCAGTCTTCTCTATTTTAAAGTCATCTCTCATAGTTTGTTTTCCTTGAGATTTCTAACAGTGCTTGAGGAAACAACACTTTAATCTGTAATCTTGACCATCGCCTCGTTAAGGCTTTATGAGCCGCCTCATGATCGCCCGGTGGTTTGCTGGTTTGCTGGCCGCTGGGCTTAGAGGGCGAATGGGACACCGCTCTCCAAAAGCTCTCAGCTTAGCTGGGAGGAGAGAGAGTAAAGTTAGAGGAAAGGCCCCGATTTCCCATTTTCTCTCCATATTTGCTCTACTTGTCATTCACTTTTCGTTGATTCCTTGGATTCTCCCAGCCTGTCATGCCCTCTGGCCTCTCTTCCTTTCCTACAAGCCCTGATGGCCTTGTTAATCATCAGCACCTTTGTCTCTTCGTGGCCGGTGGGAATTGTCTTGGATTAGTCCCACAGTCCCCCTCTTGTTCCCGTACCTGGATGCTGAGCAGCCACAAACACCTCTCCTTGGTTTCCCTAGGATTCCATGGCATCCAGTCTCTGCTAGGAGCTCACTTCTTTTACTTGGCCTTAGTTTAGTGGTCCTTCAGTCACGTTCCTCTGCCTCTTGTACTCTTCACTGATGACTTCCTCTTGTATTTCAAAGAGAAAACTCAAAGGATGAGGTGTCTTCCTCCTCCTGAAAGCCACCTTCTCTGTTCTTGGTCCAGTCCCTTTCCCATGCTCCCATCCCAGTCAGAACTTTCCACCATGAATTGTCCTCTCTTGTGTCTTCCTAGTCTCCCTAGCCCTTTTTCCTCGGTCTACAAATTAACTGTAAGGCGCTCACATCTTAGGAAAACACTTTTTGATCTGGTGTCTCCCTGTTAGCTACTGTGTTGCCTCAGTCAAGCTAACAGAAAGGTTTTCTACGACTGCAGTTTCCACTTTCTCACCTCTTGTGTACCTCAACCACTGCCTTCTCGTTTCTTCTCCTTCCTCTTCACCAGAAATGACCCCTTTATTGCCAGATTTAGTGGGTGCTTTACTTCTTCATTCCCTTGACCGCTGTTGAATTTGACATTGTAGTTACTTAGTCCTTCTTGAAAGTTCTTGCTTCGTGACTGGTCTTTCCTTGTGTTCCTACCTTCTCAGCAATTCTCTCCTGTTGTTCTTCAAGGGGACTTTGATCGAAGCTTTTAAGTGTCAGCGTTTCCCTGGGTTCTGTCCTTGCCTTCTTCTCTTTTTTGGCTACACAGTCTTCTTAGGAACTCTTCTTTCATGGCTTCGGCCACCACCTGATCTGCACAGCGTCACATATACCTGTGTGCTGGAAATTTCCACCCAGAATTCCTGAAGTTGCTACAAGTCAAAATGTCCAAACTGAGGTTCGCTTCCACCAAATCCCCTGGGTCTGAGTCTCTTGTTTTCTTTTTCCTACACTGCAGTGGGGACTCAAAAATCCTCCACTGCTCCTAAGATAAAGTTCAAAATCCTTACTCTTGCTTTTAAGGTCTGCATTATCTGGCGCATTCTACAGCTTAATCTCAAGCCACTTCCCACCTTACCCTGCTTCCTGGCCTTGCTGGCTTTCCTTTGTACTCTCAAATACACACTTTCCTTAGAATCTTTTAAAAAAAATTTATTGGCCCTGAGCTAACATCTGTTGCCAATCTTCCTCTTTTTTTTCCTCCCCAAAGCCCCAGTACATAGTTGTATATCCTAGTAGTGGGTCATTCTAATTCTTCTGTGTGGGAAGCCACCGGAGCATGGCCTGATGGGCAGTGACTGGGTCTGCGCTCAGGATCCGAACAGGTGAACCCCGGGCCGCTGAAGTGGAGTGTGCAAAGTTGAGCACTTGGCCTGTTCATCAGAATCTTTGCTTTGCTGTAAGCCGTTGCCTCTGCCCAGAACACTCGTCTCCTGCTGTTTACATGGCCACCTCCTACTCACTGTTCAGGTCTCAGTTTAAACTTCATTTACCTAGCATTCTCGGAGCACTCCAGACTAGAGATTAGCAGTTTCTGAGTTTATGCTTCGCCCGGGGCAACTATACTTCTGACCTCTTGTTTGGTGCCTGTAACAATAAGCTGTTAGCTTCTAGGGCTGCTTTGAGGATTTACATGAGTTGCTAAGTGTAGAGGTCCTAGGAGAGTTTCTGGCACTAATGTGAGCTGTATGAACGTTTTTGATTATTGTCATTAATATTATGGTGGAAATTGGAACTGTTTTACTCATATTTGTGCTCTCAGTGTATGTTTTTGGAATGGATAAATAAGCCCATTTTACTGCTACTACCACAGTCATACCTGAATCTCTCTTTCTCAGTAAATTACAGGGGTCTCCTAATTGGCCTCCCTTTGACCAAGCCTCATTATCTCTCATTCATTCGTTTAATTTCTTACTCATTCAACACTTTTGAGCATTTGCTATGTGCCACGTACATTCTTAGGCAATAGAGATACAAAAATAAATAGATGTGCTGTCTAGTAGGTGTAGGAGGGAACATGTTTGCAACAACTGAATACGAAACAAAGTTTGGCAGGTACTTTAATAACGGCACGTTTAGGATGCTATGTTGAGGATGCTGTGGGGATACAAGGGAGGAAATGGACCAGTTTTGGGTAAGGCAACGTTATGGGCTGAATTGTCCGTCGTCCCCTCCTCCCGCCCCCACTTCATATGTTGAAGTCCTAATACCCAATACCTCAGAGTGTGACTATTTGGAGATAGGACTCTTAAAGAGGTAATTAAGGTAAAACGAGGTCCTATGGGTGGGCCCAAATCCAATATGACTTGTCCTTACAAAAGGGAATAGTGCAGAGACATGCATGTGTGCAGAAGAAAGACCATGTATGGACACAGTAAAAAGGCAGCCACCTGCAAGCCTGGGAAAGAGGTCTCAAAAGAAGCCAGACTTGATAATACCTTGATCTTGGACTTCTAGCCTCCAGAACGGTGAGAAAATAAGTTTTTGTTGCCTAAGCCACCCAGTCTGTGGTCTTCTGTTATGGGAGCCCTAGCAGAATAATACAGGCAGTCATAAGGTCTTTATGAAAGAGGTGATGCTTTGCTCCTCAAAGAGGATGGTGGTGATAATAATAGCTGCCAACTAAATAGTGCGTGTCATGTACCAGGAAGTGCTGTAAGCCTTTTATGCATATTATCATTTAATCTTAAACAACAAGGCTCTGCAATAGATACCATTATTCCCATTTTCATATGTTCAAACTAAGGCACAGAGTAGCTGCATCACTTCCTAAGGATACCAAACTAGTCAGTATTGGAGCCAGGACTGAACCCTGGCTGTTTGAGATTGAAGCATCAAAGTAGGAGGGGTGTTGCCATCTGAGAGGGCTTTATGAGCAGAGCTAGGAAGAGGAGATATGAGCTGGGGAGATGGGCAGACATATATCAGGGAGGATTTAGTATACTTTGTTAAGAAAGAGTTTTTTTTCTTTTTTTTTTTTTGCTGAGGAAGGTTAACCCTGAGCTAACATCCGTTGCCAATCTTCTTTTTCTGGCTTGAAGAAGATCAGCCCTGAGCTAACATCTCCACTGTATATGTGGGTTGCTGCCACAGCATGGCTGACAAGTGGTGTAGGTCTGCACCTGGGATCTGAATCTTTGAACCTTGCCACCAAAGCAGAGTAGGCCAAACTCAACCACTGTGCCACAGGACCAGCCCTAGAGTTTTATTTTCTGTAACCAGTAGGGATCCATTGGAAGGTTTTAAGATGGAGATCAGCATAATTAGGCTGTTTTAGTAATTTTACTCTTCTAACTGGAGGATAAATTATAGAGTCAAGAGCCTGGAAGCAAAGAAACAGACAAGTCAGGAAGTCATCACGACAGAGGGGTGAGACCATGGCATGTTAGATGAGAAATATGTGTGCAGAGCTAGGACAGTGGCAGAATATGCTGTGAGGAGAGAAATGCCTATAAAGGACTGCTTTCTTCCTCCCTCCTTCCCTTGCCTCTTCAATGTAATAGAGTTTATTGTAGGCCCTTGAGGTAGAATTGTGAATGTCTCACAGTGTATGACCCAAGAAATACCTACAGGGGATAAGGATTAGCACAGTCTTGATACAAGGGAATGCTACAGTTGCCATGGGGATCCTCTGGAAGAGTACTCACCCCAGCTTAGGGAGGGAGTCAGGAGTCTTTCCCAGAGGACTGGGTGTCTGAGCTTCCCAAAGAGGAAGTGCAACTACTTTACTGCTCCAGCAGGAGGAAGGAAGACTTGCTTCTTGCCCAGCAACAAGCCCATGAGAAGCTGTTGTCACCTGTCATTTACTTTCCTCCAGTGAACTTTTCATTTTTTCTTCTGATGACTTGCTTTCCTCATCCCACCCTCCTTACTATAAACACCTTCCTTGTTGTGTAACCCCTAGGGGTATCCCTTTTCTTGCCACATGAGATGCTGCCCAGTTCATGAATTGTTTAATAAAGCCAATTAGATCTTCAAATTTACTCAGTTGAGCTTTGCTTTTTAACAGTAGTAAAACATAAACAGAAGTTATCCCAGGGCAAAATGTTTCAGGGAAGAGTGTTCCAGCCAGGGGTGGATACTACATCTTCAAAGGCCCAGGAGTTAGAGGGGCTGTGTAGTTCAGGAACTGCAGGGCTCTCAGTTTTTTTCAGGTATAATTGTGAGCATGGTGGGCCTGAGAGATGAAGTCAAAGCGAGATTAAGGAGCTCTATCGTGAGGGGTCTTATGAACTTTGATGACGAACTTGGACTTAGAAGCAGTATTTGGAAACTGAGTAGATAATGAATTCTAGGACAAGTTGAGTTTGAGTTATCTGGATTGTCCAGGCAAAGACATTCAGTAAGTTCTTGTCTTCAGACATGTTACACTCATTTTCTGAATAAATAATTGAAATTAGTCCATTGTGGTGAACTGGCCTAATTTTTAGTTTTTCCAGTATTTTATTCATATTTTCACCTTAGTTTCATTGTACTGGTCAACAGTACTGTTATATTTGTATTTTTTTCCAACAGAAGATGTTTTTTCTCCCACTCATATTGTAGATCAGTAGCTTTTCTTGGCTGTTGTCAAATTACGGCTCAGGTCTGAGCTGCTTCTGTCCTACGACTCCTCCGTGATGGAGGCCTTTGCCTCCAGCTGCACAGATGTGAGAGGGAGACCAGGCAGGACACATACCAATTCTTAACTGCCTCAGACACTAGAAGCTATACATCCTTTAAAATTTTTTAGTCATAGTAAAATACACATAATATAAAATTTATCATCTTAACCATTTTTAAGTATTCAGTTCAGGGGTATTAAATTTATCCGTAATGTTGTGCAACCATCACTACCATCCATCCCCATAACTCTTTTCATCTTGTAAAACTGAGAAACTCTACCCATTCAACAACTTCCATTCTCCCCTCTCCCTAGCCTGTGGCAACTACCATTCTATAATTTGTCTCTATAATTTCGACTACTCTAAGTATCTAAGTGGAAACATAAACAGTATGTATATTTTTTGACCGATTTATTTCACTTAGCATAATGTCCTCAAGGTTCATCCATGTTTTAGTCTATGTTAGAATTTCCTTTCCTTTTTCAGCCTGAATAATATTCCATTGTATGTATATACCACATTTCGCTTATCCATCCATCTGTCAATGGACACTTTGGTTGCTTCCACCTGTGGGCTCTTGTAAATAATATGCTATGAACATGGGTGTGCAAATACTCTTTGCACTCTGCTTTCAATTCTTTTGCATATATACCCAGATGTGGAATTGCTAGATCATATGAATTCTATGTTTAATTTTTTGAGGAACCACTATATTGTTTTTCATAGTGACTGGCCCATTTTACATTCCTACCAATAGTGCACAGGGTTCCATATCCTCACCAACACTTGTTACTTTCTGTGGTTTTGATAGTAGCCATCCTAATGGGTGTGAGGCGACATGTCTTTGCAGTTTTGATTTGCATTTCCCTACTGATTAGTGATGTTGAGCATCTTTTCATAGGCTTGTAAGCCATTTGTATATCTTTGGAGAAGTTTCTAGTCAGGTCCTTTGCCCATTTTTAAATCAGGTTACTTCTTCTGTTGTTGAGTTGTAGGAGTTCTCTACATATTCTGGATATGAATTCCTTATCAGATATGTGACCCAAAAATATTTCTCCCATTCTGTGGGTTTCCTTTTCACTCTGTTTATTGTGTTGTTTGATGCACAAGTTTTAATTTTAATTTTAAATTTCTGTTTTTCCTTTGGTTGTTTGTACTTTGGGTGTCATATCTGAGAAATCATTGCTGAATCCAGTGTCATGAAGCTTTTTTATATTTGTATCAAAAAACCCCCATTTTTGGTTAAATGTGGATCTTCCATGTTCAGAGATTCAATAGAAGTTTTCTTGCCTCAAATCGTTATCCTATTCTCATGTGCTTCATAAGCAAGACTCCCAAGTTTTGTAACTATCCAGGTATAGATGTATTTTGTCCCCCTTCCCCAGTCTCTCACAGATCATCTTAATCAAAATATCCCCTTACTTGCAACATTTACAGTAATTTGTTCTAACATTCATTTCCTTTGGCCACTTTTCTCTGAATTATCAACCAGGCCAATTATCTTTTTAGGTTAGGTTTTTTTGTCCTTAAAAAAATCATATATTAGTCTGCTTAGGCTGCCATAAATACCACAGACTGGGTGACTTAAACAACAGAAATTTATT